CCTAACAGTTTTTGCAGGTACCGAACCTGAAATCTAGAGCTTGTGATGATTTTGGCATATCTATAGAGTGTATTGTGTACATAGCTTCTGGATGAATAATGAGCTACTCTTTTTGACAGGACCCGACCCAAATTCCACTTTGGAATCTGAGCTGAACCCCGTGCGTGTCCAACACCTGGGCACACTTGACCAAATTGCCCTTCTAATTAAGACTCAAAATTCTTTTAAGGTTCGACTTCTGCCGAAAATTCGGCGGAGTTTTCCCTGTAATTCACTCGTTTCCCCAAATTTTCACATGTACAAAATGAAACTCATATCCACAATCATTCAACAAACAAGAATTTCATCCATACACAATTCAACAGTGATTCCAATGGAACTCAGGCCCGTACAACACAATCAAAACACTGACATTCACCTTGTTATAAATGAGAAGTAACGGTAATCCAAAATTTGCCCAATTACAACGAATTTCAACTAAACCAATTCAAAGCATAATTCAACAATTTATTTTTGCAGTTGCACCTAGGTTAACCTAGGTTGCCTATGTACCCTTACCGAGGGATCAAGCCACACGTAGTTCTTTCTTACTTCCCTAACCAAAAGCTTCAACTCTAATTAATTCTCTGAAAAATCCAAGAATCTTGATGGATTGATCAATAGTTGGATACAGAATGTATCCTCAGAAATACTTGAGCAGCGCCATGCCTTAAAGAGATCCCTAACTCTTTTTTTTATGATGATAGAAGTCATCATAACTAGGAACCCTTGGGTTGATCGAAACCTAGAGCTTTGAACAAACAACAAAACTGTGTCATAGAACTATGATTTTACCTTAAGATGGCTCTTGCTTTCTCTAGCGTACTTGTTTTTTTTTTTCTTTTCCTGCGGCTGCTTTCTTCTCTCCCTCTCTTTTCTAAGGCCCTGAGTCTTGAGGAGTTTGAGGTTGAGTGAACTATCACTCCTTCGCCTTAGTGTTTGATACAAACGCTCTAAGTACAACCATTGTATCAAAAGATCTTTTATTCCTTTTAAACACACGTTGAATGAATTACTATTGTTGTCATTCACTTTTAATAAATTTCCACGCAGGCAACCATCCCCTTTTTTCTCTTGTACCTTATTTATTTATTTAATAAAAATTATCATTTCAACACACTTTTAACCCATCTTGTACAATTTTTTTGTTCGAATTAGGTTAAGAATTAGGTTAAGAATATGAGCACTACAATGCACATGAAATAACTCACCTTGCAATGATATTGAAAAATTGTCACATAGCCAACTTTTCAATTTTCTAACCATCGCATCATTGACACATTGTAAGCAATTATCTTTTCCAGTTTCCAAAGTGTTATATGCTTTTAACATCATGGTAAATTCTTTTATATGCGTGTTCTTAATCATATCAAAAGTAATATTAGAAGTGTAGTTTAATGACTCAAAAGTTTTTTTGGCTGTAATTTACATGATATTCGGTGTCACTCTCTTATGACATTTACTCCACGAATTACTGTTTACTCAATGAATAAACCATCTTACATTCACTAAGAAAACTATGTACCTCACAAACGAGAGCATGGTAACCATGTCGTTTATATGGTACTTACTATTTAAATGTGACTTTTACCTTCTAAACACCACCCTCGCATTCACGGAGTAATGGAACTGTTTCAATGCTAACATAGTATTTCTCACTACTTTTACCAACAAACGCTTCCATTGCCTTTTTCACTATCCTTACCCACAAACGTGTCTCTTTACTCAACGAACGCAAGGGTAATGTTTATATGGTAATGAAGGCGTTCATTTAGTAATTTACCATTTGAATGTGTTTTTTACCTTCCAAACACAATTTTTGCGTTTGTCGAATAAAGTGCACGTTTATATGGTAAAATGACATTTTTCACGACCTTTACCCACAAATGTGTTTTTTTATTTAGGTTTCCAAAGTGTTATATGCTTTTAACATCATGGTAAATTCTTTTATATGCGTGTTCTTAATCATATCAAAAGTAATATTAGAAGTGTAGTTTAATGACTCAAAAGTTTTTTTGGCTGTAATTTACATGATATTCGGTGTCACTCTCTTATGACATTTACTCCACGAATTACTGTTTACTCAATGAATAAACCATCTTACATTCACTAAGAAAACTATGTACCTCACAAACGAGAGCATGGTAACCATGTCGTTTATATGGTACTTACTATTTAAATGTGACTTTTACCTTCCAAACACCACCCTCGCATTCACGGAGTAATGGAACTGTTTCAATGCTAACATAGTATTTCTCACTACTTTTACCAACAAACGCTTCCATTGCCTTTTTCACTATCCTTACCCACAAACGTGTCTCTTTACTCAACGAACGCAAGGGTAATGTTTATATGGTAATGAAGGCGTTCATTTAGTAATTTACCATTTGAATGTGTTTTTTACCTTCCAAACACCATTTTTGCGTTTGTCGAATAAAGTGCACGTTTAAATGGTAAAATGACATTTTTCACGACCTTTACCCACAAATGTGTTTTTTTATTTAGCGAATGCAGGAGTGGCGTTTATATGGCAATTGAGGCGTTCGTTTTCTTTATACACGTGCTCGAATGTCTCAACGCAGGTTTGGAAGCACATTAACTCAATGCGGGTTCGAATGTCCACCACCTAACAACATGGGTTGGGATGCGTCACGACCCAACAACATGGGGTCAAATGTGTCACGACCCAAGAAAATGAGGTCAAATGCGCCATGACCTACAGGATTAGAGGAACATCATCTGACATAATATCAACCTAATGTGACTTTGACGACAATCCATTCAGTTGCGCATATTTTCATGACCACATGAATTGTGGAGCAAGACAAATATGGTTGATGGTTGATCTCGTATAACTTTCAGTAACCCAACTTAATTCCCTGAGTTAAGTTTTCATCGATTGCTTCCCAAAAAACATTACAATAAGATTGATAAACTTTATTTTAACCTTTTTGTTCTTGTTTTTCGTCTTTAAAATATAAAGACCTGAAAAAATACAAGGACTATCTAGAGCGTTTAAACCAGTTCGAAAAAGGGAAAAAAAACCTGAGAGCGAAACCCTAACTGTTTTTCTCAAAATCTTTATTATAAATCTTTCCAAATGGCTCCCAAGAAGGCTATTCAGAAACCCGTTCGGAATAAAACTCAGAAGAAACCTGTGGAAAAAGCTGAACCTGACATTGATTCTTCCACTTCTTCCTCTTCTTCAGACAACCCCAAACGACCCCTTTACATATCGGGCATAAAGATAGATACCATTCTTACTGAGATGGACAATCTGATCCTCAGATTCTCTAATTTCTCTCCCTGATTTCAGGTCTGTAAAGATCACATCAACTTCACCAATCAATCTTGCGTCCTTGGGCCGAGATATTTGGAGAAAAAAGCTAGCCAATTGATCAGCTACGAGCTACATTACACCAGGGCTCCTGCCAATTGATCAGCTACCACTACAAGAAAACATGCCTTTTGTGAGGATGGGTAGTCGTCGCTGAAACATGGAATTTCGTCACAGTTGAGTATATGTGACGCAATTTTAGCGTCACAGCTTTCGTCACCTATACCCCGTCACCGATTCTCCCACGTGACGCTTTCTTCCTTCGTCACATATACCCGATATCCATGACACATATCGCGTCACTATACGTTTGATTATGTGGCCGTCCGTTTGTCACTTCCTACAGCTATTAGTGATGCGTGATTTGGGTCACGGTTTAGCGGCATCTGTGAGGAGTAATTCCTCTCCTAAACTGGGTATAAAATGCTCCTTCCTATACAATACGTGACCCTTTAGGCGTCACATATTCATGTATTGTGTGATGACGCATGCATCACATATTGTTTTAATGTGTGACGATGCACACGTCACATAATTTTGTAATATGTGACGATGTATACATAAAATGTCTTTTTATCTGTGACGATGTTGGCCTCACATATTTCTTCAGATTGTGATGAGGTCTGTATCACACATGTTCCATACCAAGTTACCTAATTATGAATAATATGTGCAAATCCAATCACAATTCTCTGTTCTCATATTTTTCAATGTATAATATAAAAATAGATAATCGCATTTCCATTAATAAAAGTAGGTAATTACATTGTATGTTCCAAAATAAAGATCCCTAACTAATTCTAGACTTTGTACAACCAAAAGTAAGTGTAGAGCTACTGTGTTCCAAAATAAAGATCTCAAACTAATTCTAGACTTTGTACAACCAAAAGTAAGTGTAGAGCTACTGTGTTCCAAAATAAAGATCTCAAACTAATTCTAGACTTTGTACAACCAAAAGTAAGTCTAGAGAGCAAGTGTATGTTCCATATGGATATAATCCCTAAATCAGTTCTCATCAAGATTTTGGTTTGCTAGTTCATCATAATAGTCATCATCAGAATGGACACCATTACTACCTCTAGAGCTGGTGCTGGTCTGGCCATGAGATGCACTCAAAACAGACCTCAATTGGGCTCTCAAATCTTCGTTCTCCTTTTGCAAAGTGACGAAATTAGTTGATAGCATCTTGAGCTGATCATAAATTGCACTCAACTCAGAACTTGAAGCCATTGAAGAAGGAGTGGATGAGCTAGAGGTCTCCATGCGAGGAAAAACACCTACACCATGGATTGATCTTCCCCTCCTCCCAAGCTTCTCACCCATGATTCCAAACTCAGCATCTAATGGCACTTGTATAGAATCAGGTGCAGTACACTCAGGTGCTTCTTGAATCAACTTCTCCCTAATCTCATCCCGCATTTTCTTCATCTCATCCTACAAAATAAAGATTTAGAAAAACCATACAATTAACCAACACATATGACCATAAATCCACACCTAGAAAATTAAATGGAGCAAGCATGTGTTGAATGTACAAAGTATGAGTAACTGACATGTTTCTCTTGAGCAACATCATTGATCCATTGACCCTTCTTGTCTTTGTGGAGAGCCCCCCAATTATCTATCATAGATAACAATGCTCCACTCTGTTTTTTTTTTTTTTTTTAAGTTTGAAACAAACACAATTGACGTAAGAATAACCAAAATAACTACTAAGCTATGTACTGCAGTTTCATTTACCTTATGGGCCTTCATAGCATGTTGGATGAATGGCTTTGCACCACCCTTGTGGTGATATTTTTGCTTCTTTCGATTGTCAGCATTTTGATTGGATAGCTCCTGCATTAGTTTGAGGAAATGAATAGGCAACTATGATACTTAATAAGTAGTAGTACACAAATAATAAAAAAGTGCCTGAAATACATACCAAAAAGTCTTCAGCAGTGTAAACTTTATCACACAACCAATACCAATGATTCATTGGTCTCCCATTCCATAAACTAGGGTGTGGTAGATTCGAACGTCCTGCTTCAGGTGTTCCGCATGTCTTGTAGTGTTCATGCAACCTCCACTTGAATTGAGAGTATAACTTTGCCATCTTCTTATCCACATATTCAAGAATCTTCGGATGTGATAAGTTCACCTCAAACAATACCTATATCAAACATGCATAAAAATTAGTGTAGAAACCTTTTTATATCTCTGTAAAAGTATGATATCTCGAATTTCCCAAGCAATCATTTCTTTGAAACTCATAGCAATAATTACTAAAATTACTTGATTGATCCCATGCATTAGTTTTCGAGCTGTTTTTCATATGTATCTCAACATAATGGAGCAGAACAATTGAAGGGAAGAATATTCTAGTTTAATTTCGAATGCAGCATTGTGTTTCATTTAGAAACAAGTGCAACAGTAACAGTTTTCAGTTTTCCTTAGAAGAAAATACCACTATAATGGAATTTTTATTTAGAATTATCTTGTAGAAGTATAATTAGATTTTCAGTTTTCTTTATCATTTTTGAACAAGGAATAACCAAGTTTGACAATGGAATATTAGTTGCATTGCCAATACAGAAATATTAGTTGAATATTCAACTCACTGTCAATGAGTCCCGCATTTTCCCCTTATCATCAGTTGAAACCTTCTTCCATCCCAAGTGGCATACTGGTGTACTAGTCCGAACAATGTTGCCTATCTCGGAACTAAATAAAGCTCCCACTTTATCATCACTGGGGACTTGGTGTTTCAAGTCAAAGATAACTGGCATTTTCTTTCCATCATTGGTCTCCAAAATATCATGGAGGCCTTTCCCACATGACTTACCACGCTTATGCTTTTTTCCAGAGAAGTCATAGGAACTCTCTGTATAGCCAAAAACAAATGTAACATTATTATGAATTGGTTCAAAATGTAAGAATAACCAAATTATAAATAAAAAGAGAAAATAGATAACCTGCGCTACTAGATGCTGGTTCTTCAGTGGGTGGCTATGGGGGTGGGGGTGGGGGTGGTGGTGGTGGTGGTGCTGGTGTGGTGGTGATGCATGTGCATCCCCTGGAGGAGGAGGTGTGCGATCCCTCAACCTTTTAACTCTCTTCCCCCTCTTTCCTCGCTGCCCAGGAGTTGTCATCTATAAGATGAAATGATAAGAGTTAGAACAAAATTAATATCAGATATAATATTATAATAAAAGCATACCCAGTGCTAATAAACATAACATTCGTAACATTATTACTCTAACATTATTACTCTAAAAGCTCACCAAAAACATCAATCTAAATCACTATCTCCTTCACTTGTTACACTATTATCATAATTGCCAAGTTGCAATTCGTCGTCGTCATCATTACTTGCTAGCATTCTTCGGACCTCATCATTGTTAGTGTCAATAGATTCAGGATCAACATTATCTCTACATAATGATATGCTAGCTTCATCATCATCACCCTCAACCAATCTTATTTCACCATCATAATCATCATCGTCGTCTTCATCATCATCTTCATCATCATCATAATCATCTCTCTCAAGAACATCCCATACATGTCTATGCTGAATCCTCTGAACAACTCTCCAAGGATGACCCAACTTTAGATCATCCATATAGAATACTTGATGTGCTTGTGTAGCTAGCACATATGGATCACTACCATACCATTGGCTGTTTATATTCACTGATGTGAGATTATAATCATGAATAACTTTCTTACCTTTGGCATCAGTGTTGTACCAACGACATTTGAAAAGAACTACCTTCAAACCTCTTGTGAATTGCACTTTTATGACATTGACTAAGCTGCCGTAAAACTCACAACCTTCGCCATTGTGCGACCCCGGAGTCATAACTCCACTATTCTGTGTTGTGCGGTTTCGATCAACATGTGCTACCAAATACCGAATGCCATTCACAACACACCCTATATATTGGACAGTACGAAGATCGGGACCTTGGGCTAATGCAAAAATCTCTTCACTCACCAATCTAGGTTCTTGATTATACAATGTCGTGGCCTTATCCCTAAACCATTCGGGAAACAACTTCCTGTGCCTTCGTTGTAAATTATCATGACTCTCTCTTTCCAATAGCTCAATATGCTCGCTGCAATAAAAACATTGTTAAGTTACAATTTGAGAATTGCATAAGAATTGCACAAGAATTGTACCACATACTTTCTGAAGTCTTCAATTTCGTCGCAATTGTCCAAGATATACCAATAAGCCACTTCCATATCTTCTTTCGACATTTCAACCATTAGATGACCTCCGAATGGACGAGCTTTTTGGGCAAAAACTAAAAGCTTCGCACTGGGATCACCACCATCATTGTTTCTTTCACGTCGAGTAAATTCTGTCTCAACATCACATAGATACATTGAGCAGAATGTTGAAGATTCGTACGCAATGTAAGCTTCTGCAATAGAGCCTTCAGGCCGAGCTTTGTTAGGCACATATTTTTTGTACGTGCCTAACAACCTAAAGATTTTCACACTTGTTAATTATGCAGAAAGACAAATTAAAAGTAACTAAAAAAAATACACCCAATTACCTTTCTACAGGATACATCCAACGATATCCAACTGGTCCTGCTAATTTAGCCTCGCGGGGCAAGTGAACAGCCACATGGACCATGGCATCAAAGAATGCTGGTGGGAAGATTTTCTCTAGTTTGCACAATATAATCACAATGCTTTCTTCCAACTTATCAAGATCTGTAACACTCAATGTCTTTGCACATATTTGTTGGAAGAAACTTGACAACTCAACAAGTGGCTCACAAATTTGCTTTTTCAAATGTTTTCTTATGCCCACAGGAAGAACACGTTGCATCAACACATGAAAATCGTGACTCTTCAAACCCGATATTTTCCCTTCATCTACAATCACATTTCGTGATATATTTGCTGCATAACCATCCGGAAATTTAATTGTTTTCAGCCATTCCAAGAAAGCTCTTCGCTCAGGTGGCGTTAACACATACTCAGCCGGAGGCTTTTCCAATTTATTGCCATCATTCAGCTTCATTTGCAAATTCTTCCTAATATTCATGTCTTGCAAATCCAACCTAGCCTTGAGTGTATCCTTTGACTTTACTGTATTCAGCAATGTCCCAACAAAACTATCACATATATTTTTCTCGATATGCATAACGTCAAGGTTATGCCTAATTTTTAACTTAGACCAGTAGTCCAACTCAAACAAAATACTCTTGTTCGTCCAATTTAATTCTTCACTATTCCGCTTCCTCTTCCGATCTTTATTATTAGGATGTTTACCAGGCACTCGCGGAAGAAGGTAATCAAATTGATCAAGGATATCGTCGCCTGAAAATTTCCTAGGGGGCTGTCTCATCTCGCGGCGACCATTAAAGTCTTTAGTATTCCTGCGCCATGGGTGATTCATGGGTAAGCAGAGACGATGCCCAATAAAACAATACTTCCCTCTCAACCTTGTGTATGATGTATCCTCATTACACACTGGACATGCCAACCTACCATGCGTACTCCATCCTGATAAATTTCCGTAAGCCGGGAAATCATTGATGGTCCACATAACAGCTGCACGCATATTAAATGTAGACTCACTCATCTTATCATAGGTTTGAACGCCATTTTCCCACAATTCCTTAAGCTCATCAACCAATGGACGCAAATATACATCAAGGTCTTTTCCAGGTGCTTTAGGTCCAGGAACTAACAATGTCATCATAGAGTACGGTTTTTTCATACACTTCCATGGAGGCAAATTATAGGGAAACAAAACAACTGGCCACATACTGTAGGACGTGCTCATATTCCCAAAGGGATTGAACCCATCAGTTGCAAGGCCTAATCTAACATTTCGTGGGTCTCGAGCAAAATCGGGGTACATTTTGTCAAACTCTTTCCAAGCGATAGAGTCAGCTGGATGCCTTATTTTATTCTCATCATTAAGTCGTTTATCATTGTGCCACCTCATATCAATGGCCGTATGTCTCGACATGAACAACCTTTGTAACCTTGGCTTTAGAGGAAAGTATCGCATCACTTTTCTTGGAACTTTCTTTATTTGCTTATAATCACTGTCCTTATACCTTGGCTCATTACACACTGGACATTTATCTTTCTTCTCATGGTCTTGATAAAACAACGCACAATCATAAACACATGCATCAATATTTTTGTAACCCAAGCCAAGACCTTTCAACATCTTCTTGCAGACATAGAATGATTCAGGAACATTGTTGGGTTTGGGACACATTTTCTTCATCATTCCTAACATTCTATCAATTGCCTTGTCAGTCATGTGGCTGTCTACTTTGTTGTGCATCAACTCCACAATATACGTCAAAACTGTATATTCAACACACCCAGGGTATAGTTCCCTTTGAGCTTCACTTAGAAACTTCTCATAATTATTCGCATCCACCCTATGAGCATTGGTCAAATCAGCACTCCATATGGTATCTTGGTCCCCCATTGTATCTTGGTCATCATCATATAGTCTATCAAATGCATCATCAATCATATGAAACATGTTGACATTAAGATCATTGTTTTGCTCATCATCCATTGATCTAGAAGTCTGCCCTTGCACTTGATGGATATGCTCTCCATGATAGATCCATCTATCATAACTCATATCCATACCAAAATTTAATAAATGGATATGAACAACATCAATAGAGTGAAAAAACTTATTGTGGCAATTCCTACACGGACATAATATCTCATTCCTCCCATTCACATGGTGACAAGCAACATCAATGAATGATTGAATCCCTTGTCTATAGTATGAAGCAAGTCGATTCCGACTAAGAATCCATTGTCTATTCATGACTTGATTGTGAATTCAGGTTACCATAAATTTAAGAAACACCCTGCTAAGAACATCTCTTTAAAATTAACTTCAGCCAAGACTATTTTAAACATGTTATGGCAATGTTTTATATAAAAAAAAAAATATAATAGCATTAGTAAATTTTTCTTGAAATTGGAACTGTGCCTAGTTTAAATATGTCAAATATCTCATCTACGTAAGCTCCTAAGGAAGTGAAAGCATATTTAATGTATGTACAAACAAGGAGAGTAAGAATAGTGCTGAAATAATACAATATATGTCCTAACCTGAACTCAAAAATATTAGAGTAGGATTCTACCTAGAACTGAAGTTGAGCATTTACTTAATTGATAAAAATTTGATTCATCAGATTATATATTTAAATATAAAGACTATAAACGATTTGATTAAAATGAATATGAAATTTACAAAAGACAAAAAAATGTAGATAACCTAAAGAATAGTTTTTTATTATTTAAAAAAAACATAACAATTTGGCACTAAATAATACCTGTCCAAAGCTAAAACTATGAGTTCCACCAGTAGATTATGTAAAACGTCAACCTTGATCACAGTGCAAGGGGTTCCCGAGGCCACCAAGGTAAATTCAAAATTGTATTCTGCAATTCATAGTCAAAATGTAAATTCAAAGAGACAAAATCACCATCATCAAAACAAATAGAAAGTCTGTTGATAGTGATTGCTAGAATATGATTTGGTTGTTTCATCTCTTTTCCTTTTCTATTTCTATTTCATGTTTGAGTCCAAATAGGTTAGTAGATGACAGAAAAAAAAATGGTGACTGAATGTAGATGATTAAGCTAAAAGCACGCAACTGGAATAGAAGTGTAGGTTTTAAGAAAATTGAGTTTTAACCATTATAAGGCACAGCTATAAATCTGTTTCAAAAGGGAAAATGGAGTTGGGCTACTTTATAATCTGCCTAGAGTGAGTCAAGCCTATCATGGGTTGTGACACACGGGGGTAGTAATGACATGTTGTGTAGAAAAACATCATTTTATTTGAAAGAAACAGTGTAATTGGTAAGCAGTGAACACCAGGAGATATCAAAGATAATTTAATCTCGATTGCCATTAGTTAATCCTCAACTTAATCATGAGACAATTTGTAATCTGCCTAGAGTGAGTCAAGCCTATCATGGGTTGTGACACACGGGGGTAGTAATGACACGTTGTGTAGAAAAATATCATTTTATTTGAAAGAAACAATGTAATTGGTAAGCAGTGAACACCAGGATATATCAAAGATAATTTAATCTCGATTGCCATTAGTTAATCCTCAACTTAATCATGAGACAACTTAAGCTAGAATGGCATTACCCTATGACTAACTGTAGATGATGTTGAGGAAAGAGATATATGAACTCTCTGTCTCTCTGCCTTTGGGTTTAAAACAAAGCTTCAAACCTTTTTTTTTTTGTTGTTGTATTTTTTGTATCAGAAAATATATTTGTTTCATGGGAAAGTTTATAATTAAGAAAAGAAAGAAAGGAGCAAAATTATTAAATCTGAAATGGAACTTTAATAAACTTAACTATTAATTTCTCTAAGTAGAAAAACAGAGAATTAATTCAAAAAATGGTGAATGCAAAGTCCAGGGCAACAACCAATTGAATATGACAACATTATCAAATATCAAATTGAATACTTGAGATATATAAGCCAAAATCTACACCACTGTCATTGAACATAAGAGTATGAAGTACTGAAAAAAATTTGCCCAAATTCATAGAAAAGTCAAATTGTCAAAATACAAATGACAAAAGTCCTAGTCAATTGTAGAATTAATTCAATCAATTGTCAAGATGAGAAATTGGTCACTAACAATATAATCAGGACAATTCATATTGGTCCCCTATTTTATCAAATCGGTGAGCTGCTGTGGAGTAGATATAGTCATTTTCTTTTTAATTTTTTCAGTTAAGATGATAGACTTGTAGTTTGGTTTTGTTGTTAATGAGATTTGTATCAAGATGATGGTGGAATATTAGTTCACCAAGTCTTTGTAATGCAAGGATGCATACAAGTGTGTTAGTTGAAATGAGATATAAAGTCATGTCTGCACTTACAGATAAGACATTCTTCAGCACATAAGCAATATTTAACATCAGGTAGAGGATTCATAACATTGCTATAAACGGGTAACTTCACAGCAGAGGTATTGTGATAATCTGCATATGGGAATCATGTGCCAGAGAAAAAAGAAGCACAAAGGTAAAGAACAGTACAGGTCAGTAGGCATTACATCAAAACACATTTATCATGAAAAAAAAATGCAGAAGCTACAACAATGCAAAGGGAGCATGAGCTGAAAACTTACCCCTCCAATGCGAGCAATCATTACAGGACCAAGAAGCCTTTCTACAAATGGGTATAGGGTGATTTGGAACACAAAAAGACCAAAACCTACAAGTTATTGTCAAAATAAGTTATTCTACAATTTCTCATCTAATCAAATTGTCAAAATACAATTTCTCATATTTGGCCATGTTCAGATTACAAATTAAAGCATGAATCAAAACAACACAAACCAGAAAGTAAAAGAAACTTACCTCGAACAGAACGAAAACTAGCAAAATTGACCAAGAGCACTGCAACACCCAGAAGAAATTTCTATTTTACCTCAAATATACAGAAAAAGCCAACGAATAGATATCAAATAAAAATCAATAATTGAACAGGGAAATAACAATCAACAATTTAACAATCAATGTAGAAAGTTCTATTTACCTGTGGGTTTTTTAGAGTGGGGGTCAAGGGGATGAGAGATTACAAGTGGAAGGAGGACTTAATTAGCTGTGGTCATTATCGAGGGAATAGATTGAAATGAGAATTTGTTGGTGATTGAATGTGGGAGACAATGGGTCACCCAAAGGGGGAGAGAGAGAGAGAGAGAGAGAGAGAGAGAGAGAGAGAGGAGGAGTGGTCGTCGTCGCCGGTGGTTTGTGGATGAGAGGGCAGCTAGTGATGACGATGAAGGGACTGAAGCTTTTTTTTTTGTTTTGATGAGCAAGTGACTGAAGCTTTAGCTTTTCTTTCTTTTTCTTTTGGGCCATAAGTGACGCTGCCAATCTTCACCCAATAAAATTTTGGGGCCTCACTTTGATGGTCTGTGACGAATGTTCATTATTCGTCACATTTAGTAAAAAAATTGGGCGCCAAGATTTCCCGCTATTTAATTTGTGACAACACCAAAATTATAACGTGACGAACATGGAGCGAAAATTTTGTTACATCTCTTCAAGACATTTAAGTGACGACTTTCAAATTTTTCTCACTTATACAAGTCAAATGTGACGAAATTTTTAGCGCCACGTAAAATTTGGTCACAGAAGGCCTGTTTTCTTGTAGTGTACGAGCTACATTACACCAGGGCTCCTCTCCCTCTTCTAAATTCAGGAGGAGTTAGATGAGCGAAGTCTATACCCCACTATCGATATGTGGAGGATAAATAGAGCCTTGGTAACTAGTCCATCTGGCTCAACAACTGAGGAGGGTAGAGCTGAAGAGATCATTGTGCTTGCCCCTAAGGTAAGATGAATCCTTCAGTTTTACCATCTATCAAGATGAACTTGGTTATTAACTTATTCTTTTTGTTTATGTAGGTCCTTGAGGCTGTTGTGAACTTTAATGCACTCTAAGTTCAGAATTCAGAAAACTTGGTTCAGGATAGCCCTCTTTCAATCCTTACACCAGCATCTTCTTGCCCGATTGTAGAGGAGAAAGATAGCGTTCTTGAAGTATTCCAAGAGAAGCCTCAAATGGAAGATGTCTCAAAGGAGGAAGCAAGATCCATTGTGGATAATTGGATGTTGGCTCCTTTAAATATGCGGACTGGTGAAGATGCGCCTAGAAACGTCTCCCCAACATTGCAGGTTCTTGGTCAATTTTATTCAAGACTAAGGACTACTTTGGAAAAAGTTGTTGCAAGCTTGGATTCATTGCTGGGAAGGTTGAGAGAATTTAATTCTCTTCTCCAGGCATCTGCCTCACTTTGGAAGATTCAATTCCAACTTGATTAAGAGGAGAAGACTCAAGAGCAAAGACTACTTCGGGCAAAAAAGGTTAAAGAAGATCTGGCTCGGATGGATAGCAGGCTCAGCAATTCAGAAGCCAGGTTCTATCACACTACAAGAAAAATACCCTACGACAACACGTTATTAACAATATGCGTAAGTTATGTGTTGTGGAAGTAAACGTTCCACAAAGTGCGGAGAGTGCGTGTTGTGTTATATGCTTTTAACATCATGCACTAAATGCACATTGTCAAAATGGTATTTCGGCGATGGTTTAACAACTCACCCTTGCATGTTGTTGTATATCAACAATGTGCAACACCTATTTTCAAACATATATTAGTTTACTATAGTGAAAAAACCTATGCGGGCTTGAAAAATCAAAGCGAGATTCATAAAATTTTAACTTCGTAAAACCTACCTGTTTATATGACAATTGATAGACCAATAAAGGAGCGACACATGGACTTAAAAGGGAATCGGTGAGGTAGCATTTAGCACCCCAGACTGCCGAACGGTAGACCAAACCCCAAACACCCGCTGGACACATGGAGCACCCATAGTAATTGTCTACAGTACCACATCGAAATTCTACACAACTTGCACACCTCCCAAGACTTACAAAAGGGGTACAAGTCCCAAAATGCAGGTAACTGGAACTTTTGGCGAACATAGCCATTACTCTGTCCAGATTACTATTCACTCCGTACTTACTTAAACATCGAAGAGCCTTTGGTCGGTACCACACTGGTGTCTAAGGTCTCACTGAGCGTTCTTATCTTGCAGATCGATCACTCCACCAAGGCCCAAAGCATACCGAAGACCCATATATCACTAAGTTGGGCTCAAAAGTGCTGAACCATTTTTGTGCATCAACAATTTAAAAGTCAGGTTCTATCACACTACAAGAAAAATACCCTACGACAACACGTTATTAACAATATGCGTAAGTTATGTGTTGTGGAAGTAAACGTTCCACAAAGTGCGGAGAGTGCGTGTTGTGTTATATGCTTTTAACATCATGCACTAAATGCACATTGTCAAAATGGTATTTCGGCGATGGTTTAACAACTCACCCTTGCATGTTGTTGTATATCAACAATGTGCAACACCTATTTTCAAACATATATTAGTTTACTATAGTGAAAAAACCTATGCGGGCTTGAAAAATCAAAGCGAGATTCATAAAATTTTAACTTCGTAAAACCTACCTGTTTATATGACAATTGATAGACCAATAAAGGAGCGACACATGGACTTAAAAGGGAATCGGTGAGGTAGCATTTAGCACCCCAGACTGCCGAACGGTAGACCAAACCCCAAACACCCGCTGGACACATGGAGCACCCATAGTAATTGTCTACAGTACCACATCGAAATTCTACACAACTTGCACACCTCCCAAGACTTACAAAAGGGGTACAAGTCCCAAAATGCAGGTAACTGGAACTTTTGGCGAACATAGCCATTACTCTGTCCAGATTACTATTCACTCCGTACTTACTTAAACATCGAAGAGCCTTTGGTCGGTACCACACTGGTGTCTAAGGTCTCACTGAGCGTTCTTATCTTGCAGATCGATCACTCCACCAAGGCCCAAAGCATACCGAAGACCCATATATCACTAAGTTGGGCTCAAAAGTGCTGAACCATTTTTGTGCATCAACAATTTAAAAGTCAGGTTCTATCACACTACAAGAAAAATACCCTACGACAACACGTTATTAACAACGTGCGTAAGTTACATGTTGTGGAAGTAAACGTTCCACAACGTGCGGAGAGTGCGTGTTGTGTTATATGTTTTCAATAATCATGAAAAATAATTTCTTTTCTAGTTTCCAATCCAAAATCAAATCAATAATGTATCTAAACAACGTTTCTACATCGTGAGAATATTCAATACATTTGTAAGCAATTATCTTTTTTTCCAATTCCCAATTATCATTAATAAAATGAGATGTCAAGTAAATATATCTAATATCTTGATGATTAGCAATCCAAAGATCAGTAGTAAGAGTAATCCTACCAGAAAATTCCTCAAAGTACTTATACAACCTCTCGTTCTCTGTTTTGTGAACCTGAAAAACATCAAACCTTACTGTATTTCTTGACACAAGTTTAAACATTGGTTGAAGACCATTCCAAAATATCTCACAGTATTCTTGCTCAGCCATATTGAATGGATAATTGTGCTTAATAACCATCCTAGCAAAATCCATTCTACTTTTCTCTTGATCAAACTTATGATTTTTAACCATAGCAGAGGAGCCTAAAGTATTTTTTTGCTATAGCTAACATTTGTTGACTGACGTCTTTACTTTTTATCTTTGGACATCTAAACAAATGCTTCTTTAAGTGGTTAATTCCTTTAATATTATCTCCCACAAATTGCTTACGACAATGGTTACACCTTGCAAGTTCACTACCATCTGACCTTTTAAAGTTAACAAAGTCTTACCATACCTTAAATGTTAATTTTCGTTTCTTTGGAGAATTTGAAGGAGAATCTTTCACCTCTATAACAATTCAAGAAATGAGTAGACAAAGGCTCCGCAATTTGGGTCACTTTAGCTTCTTTCAATACTAATATTAATGTTTCTTTAAGAAAAACCATTTTAGCTTCTTTCAATATACTAACATTAATGTTTCTTTCAATATCCTTTAGCTTCTTTCAAAACAAAACTAACACATGTGATAGACAATCACTTACCTTTTTTTTTTTTTTGGGTATGATGTGTTATATATTATATTTATATAAATGTATAATGTGATATATATAATCAGATCAGATTAGGCTAAATTTAGATCCGTCCTGTTAACTTAATGGGTTAACGGATTTGGTACATAATCGGGTCATCAGATCCTACCATTAGATCCGTCTCCTATTAATTGCATCGGATTCGGATTGGATTCAGATCAAGATCTGACCCATTGACAGCCCTAGTCCTTATATGTTAATTACCTATTTCAACCACATGTTCGACGTGCAATGCGCGATTATTCCCATAGAGACATTTAATATGTGCTGCTCAAGTGGAAAAATTGTTCTACCTCATATACAATATCCACCAGAAATGTTGGCTCTTTTCTCTGACCAAACAACCAAGGGCAGACTCTTCAGAAAAAACATTTGGGTCTATCACAATGTTTTTCATTTACTTCAATGGGTGTACATGTTGATGAAAGAATAAATATTGGTGGACGTGGGATTTATACATTTCTTGCGCAAAGTGCAATATATCATAAGATTGGTGAACTTTTACCCAATGAAGGTACTACACCACGATTTCTATAGGCTTACATATATGACACCAAGCATGAAGTTGAAAACCGAATTACTCAAAGTGAAGTTTTAGATAGAACTGTGGGTGAGAAGATACAACAAATTTTGAATCAACACAATCCTTTTATGCATACATTTAGAAGTCTTGGACAACTCCAAGATTTGCCAAGATGCAGGCTCATTATAAAAGAGCAACCTTCTGATTGACGTCAATACAATTTTCATTGGCATTCCAAGTTGCTACAATCATAATAGGAGGGGATGATATGGTGAATCAAAATGGAAGAAATATATTATTATTGAGACAATTAGTGGAAGACTTTGGAACGTCCAAGATTGTATTGGATTCTATGACCCACTACAATATCAAAGATTTGGCATGTTAGATCTTTTCATTACAATGACATGCAACCCAATTTGGGAAGAAATTAAGAGAAAATTACTCCCTGAACAAATGTCGCAAGATTGTCCCCACTTACTCACTAGAGTATTTCATGCAAAATTGGAGGAACTAAAAGAAGATATCAATGGAAAATGGGTATTAGGCAATGTTGTTGCTTATGCATATGTTATTGAGTTTCAAAAATGGGGTCTTCCACATGTGTATATGTTAGTTGTGTTGGATAAAAATGATAAGTTCAATATCCCAGATTATTATGATCAAATTGTTAAAGTTGAAATACTGAACGAAAATGAAGA